TGGTAAGTGCTGAGGCTCGCCATGAACTTGCAATCCTCCTGCCTCAGCCTCCCCAGTGGCTGGAATTATAGGTGTGTGCCATCATGCCTGACCTGATCTGGAATCTCTTTGTTTCCATATGTTGGTAGCTTTTCTTTCTGCTATTTGAACCAGGCCGTCTCTTTGAGATTAAGGAAGCTTATATTTTTTAGTAATCCCTTCAGCATCTAGCGGCTGCTCTGTATATATTAAGGATTCAGGGAATTCAGCTCAAGTGATTGATTTCCTCCCACAAATCCCTCTGTTTACTGGCACCCAGGGTAGCTCAGTGATTCTATCCCATGTAGAAGCCACTCTCTACAGACTCCCGTGGCTGGAGACCCACAGGAGGAGCCTGTGCCATCTGAATGCCCTGGCAGTCACAGCTGGAAGCTTACACATGGATTTTACAACTAGAGGCTCACAACCTTCAGGGTCTCAAGCTAGTATTTTAAAAAGAATTCTGTGATGCTACAGGTACGCTGATTTCAAATTGAGTTAGGCAAGGTACCTTCTTTTGAAAATTTTTGTCTATATGCAACTTTCAGACTGTCTCATCACAGCCCAACTGGAATTCCAAGAAGGATGCCAACAGGAATGGAAAGGAAAGAACAGAAACAAGAAGCAATACGAAGGAAAGTCACAATGGTCCTGGTGACTGCTGTAGACGAGGGAATTTGGATGGCCCATAAGATTTTAATCTGAATTGTCCTGGATGGGGGAATTAGGAAACTTGACATTGAAGTGGTTTAAGGGGAATGTGTTGAGTTTGAGGTGATGGTGGGACCTTGGTGGAAACTGCCAGCAGACATTTGGTGATTATAAATTGTCCCTGATCCCAATCTAGGTCCTGTCTCCTAACGCTATGTCAGATAGCTCTGAGGTTACCAATCAGCAAAGATTGTTCATCAGATAAACTAACACTCAGGTATTTTGAAAAACAACTCTTGATAAGGCACCTGAGAGATACTGCAGATGCCTATTAGATCTCAGTGGCCGAAAGGACCTGCAAGTGATGGGCATTTGTGTCACTGAAAATGCAACCCATTCCCATGGGACACAGTCATCCCAGGGGCTACCCATCTGAGGTGAGAGCTGGAAGTGGTCCATGTCAGGGGAGCTTACAGCATCAGTGGTGTGTCCCACCACCTGCTGACGATGTGGTCAGAGCTTCAGCTTTTCCCAGTGGAACAAGAGTTCTGGGCTAGGTGCTCACACAAATTTTCTCTAGCTCTACAACTTGATTGGGGTGGTTATGGTAGGAAGATTAAAATTCAGGATTAACAAGATGAGAAAGGAAAGGTTGAAGAGGCAAAAGGTCTAAATCTGTGGAGGACAGAGAATAAATTTAGAGATAATACATATTTGTTGTACCAAATGCTGTAGTTTGGACCTTAAACAACCCACAAAGGTCCATGTGCTGGGAGCCCTGGGAGACTTTAGGTCACTGGGGGTGTGCTGCCCCTGAAGGGGACTATGGGACCTTTGCCCCCTCATCCTCCTTTTGCTTCCTGGCTAGGAGGTGAGTGGTTTTGCTCAACTACTATGAATATGCTTTTGACACAATGTGCTGCCTGACCACAGGTCCAAAACACTGGGGCCAACCAGTCATGGCCTGGAACCTCCAAACCTGTGAGCTCAATAAACCTTTTCTCTTTATAAGCTGATTGGGTGATTGCTACAGTGACTGAAAGCTAACACCAAAGGCTGGAAGAGGAAACCACCAGCTCCTGGCCCTCTATTCCTGCACTTCCCACCCTATTCCCTGCTCTCCCCTAACCTGTGCTGCTCATAGAAAACCAAAGGGAATCGTTTCAGGACAAATAATGCCACTATAACCCAACCTGGAAATAAAGCTCATAAAACTTAAATAAGTTCATAGATTAAAGATCCTAAGGTATTTTAGAGGAATGAATAGGTATTTTTGAGGTTAATTAAAAAAAAAAACACATGGTTTAACTTATCCTGGGTAAAAAAAAATCCTTTTGATAGAGTATTGCAATAATTTTATAACCCTTTTCCTGATTCCAGTTTCTTTCTGCTATAATTCATCCTATGAATAGAGTGCAAATTAATCTTTCCTAGTGCTCAGATCTGACCCCTGACTGAACGCCACCAAGGACTCTCTTATCTATAGTTGTCCCAAGCCCCTGGCATTCAAGATCTCTTTTCAATATAAACTAACCTTTTTATTCTTATTATTTCTTTGACCCAAGCAATCTTTACCATTCACTGTGCTGTCCCCTATCCCCTGTACAGTTGGTCCCTTTTCTCATAAACCAAATTTTTGTCATTCTTCCTTGATGCATATAGCCAATGGGACTCTTCCATTTTTTGAACTGCCACTAAGGTTTTTCAGATTAACACTGTCCTCTAAGATGCAATGTGCCCAGCAGTAAACGTGAGTTCTAGAGTCAATATGCTTGGATTTGAATACCAACTCTGCTGCTTACCATCTGTGTGATGCTGGGTAAGTGACTTGACCTCTCTGTACCCTTTTGCCATCATCTTTAAAATGGAGGTAAGCATGATATCTGTCTTGTAGTTATTTCAATAAATGACTAATATTAGTAAGCAAGATTTATGGAACTCATTTGTTTCTTCCAAAGTAACTTGAATTTAGAAGATGCTTAGTCAGCACTACTGAATGAATGAGTGATGGTATGTTGGGACTTGTTCTCTTTAGAGCCAGTCCATGGGTGAGATGGGTATCATCCCACAGGCCACACAGTCTCACCAACAGTCTAGCTGGCTGAACCCTGTGCCCACCAGCCTATCCTGACCTTCCTGTACCCACCCACCCTGATTCCCTCATTGTGCCATAAGACTTCCTGTCCCATCATGTCTGTTGGGCCTCATTCTTAGTGCCTCCACCTGGGGAGATGCCTGCCTTCTGCTTCAGTGATCTCGGGTTTAAGGGGCTTTGGCTGGGCCTCAGTTACAGGTGTTTCCCTAGAGTTCCTGAATGCTTTGTTTGATTCATTTGTAATAGGTACTCTCCTGTATACATATTTCACCGATTTAAAAAAATTGATTATCCCCCTCCATTTTAGCATCTTTGGAATTGGGCTGCTGCGTATTACAGTGGATGCTAGTTTCTTTCTTAAGAGTTAGTAAAATAACTTTCATCTTATGATTAAGAGATGTCTTAGATTAAATGAAATGGGAATACTTTTATTATTTTGTGTGTAGATGTCCTATTGCTCCAAGTAGACTATATGCTTTTTGAGTCAAAGGTTTTTGAGTCTTATCTTTTAATCCAAAAGATGTACTCTAATTAAATTAAAGCAGTGCTTCTTTTACCCTCTGCTTTGTCTAACATAATGGCAAGTTTGTAGGTGATCAGCAAATGTGTTCTGATGATCATGACAAGATCAATTCACTTTCTCCCTCTTCCTTTCCCTCCCTGTTCAATTTGGGGGCAGTGAGGCCACAATACCAGAAGTCATGTCCTCCCCTCCAGCTAGGATGGGTATGTCAGTCTGTGAAATAATTATGTACAGAAATCTCTCCAGACCTTTCTTCTTATTTCTTCCTAAAGACCAATAGCTTTCTTCTCCCCAGCTCATACACTCCCTCGCTGCCAGAAAGCTCATTGCTTCTAAGAAACATGGGTCGTTTCTGTGGGATCTCAACCACAGCTTTGCAAAGCCTGATCAATCCTTTGTGTTATGGAGCAGGGGAGAGGCAGGCTGAGGGCTTTTGCAAATTAGGACCTCGCTCAAA